TAACAATTACAAACATCCAGCATTCAACACCAGAGGCACAAAATACATAAAGCAAGGATTTACAAAACTGAAAAGAGGGACTTGAGAGATGGTTTAAGAGTGTGTACTGCTCTTGTGTGTAACACAATTAATACAAACCCAGAGACAGATATTGGGGTTCAAGCTTCAAGCTGAAGATCAGAAAAGCAAAGCAGCTGGCCACTAGCTCACCTGTCCTCAGAGTGGCTGGAGAATAGGTCTGAGACTAACTACTGAATGCCCTGCTCCTATCTTACACTTGTTTCTAGAGCTGGGATTAAAGGTGTGGGATCCCAACTGCTTAGATCTCCTTTGTGTGAGCTGTTTCTCTTTTTGACTGGTTCATTCTAATGTAACCATGGGTGGTCTTGAACTCAGAGAGATCCATCTGCCTTTGTCTCCAGAGTCTGGGATTAAAGGTGTGTGCCAGCCACCATTGCCTGGCTTCTAAGGCTAACTAGGTTGGCTGCTGGGATTATAGGTATTACCACTGCTTCACTCCTTAGCTGTGGCTAGTTTTGCATGTTGATCTCCAGTGACTTTATTAAATCATAAGTAATATATCACTTGATATATTACTTGAGAGTTTGGTCCCCAGTACTCAGCTCAGGTGGCTTGCCTATAACTCCAGTTCCAGGGGATCAGATGCCCTCTCCTGGCCTTTTCACACACACACACACACACACACACACACAGAGAGAGAGAGAGGGGGGGGAGGGAACATAGACACACACATATACACATAAATAAAAATAAAATTAAACAAAACAAAAAGAAAGCCTTAAAAGAGAATTAGAAAAAGGATATGAGCCACTTACCTAAAAGGACTTTTGCTTAAAAATATGAACAATAACAACAACAAAAAATAGTCACTGTGAAGTTCAGGGAGAAATCAGAAAAGCATAACAAGAATCACTAAATAAACACTTAAATCTTTAAGATTTATTGATTTTATGTTCTGAATGAGTGTTCTGCCTGCATGTATGTTTGTACACCATATGTGAGCTTAGTGTCTGTGGGGGCCAGCAGAGAGTGCTGGATCCCTTGGAACTGGAGTTACAAATGACTGGGAGCCAGTACGGGGGCTCTGGAAATTGAATTTGGGTCCTCTGAAAGAACAAGTGCCCTCAGTGCCTGGACCATCTCTCCACTCTGGGTATAAACCTTTGATTTAGCTGATCTAGTACACATAATTTTATACTGACACAGATGTAAAAGCTAAGCCTGCAGATGGTAGGGTTCTGAAAGGAACGACTGCAGTGAAATTAAGGACCCCTCTCATCACCCTTCTTCCTTCTCCCTTTAGGGAATCAGCTGCAAAATATGTTGAGAACATGTTTTGTTTTGCTTTGTTTCAAAATTTAGTTATGTTGTTATGATTCTTTTTTATATGCTAAAATAAGGACATAAGACAACACTTTCCCTCCCTGAACACAACTTATATCAGTTTTGTTATTTCTGAAACAGAAATTTAATTTCAAACTAATGATTCCTGAGTTCTCTTTCCTTTGGCAACTTGGGCCCAAGGCTTACTGAAACATAAGGTGGCACCCAAAATGTCACATTCTTAGAAAGTGGACCTAAAAATCCTCCATTTTGTCTTTTGTTTTGTTTTTACTTCATTTTTATCGTGTTTTAATTGTACAGAGGTTCCACTGTGATATTTGCAAATGTGCATATAACATATATTGACGATATTCACCCCATCCAACACCCTTTCCACCTTCCCTCCTTCTAGAGCCCTTTTCCAAAATCTTGACTACACATATGAGAGAAGCCACGTCTCTGAGTGGTCTCTTTAACTGAGTCTCTCCGAAGCTGGCTTGTTTGTGTCCTGTGAGGATTCCTAGGAAGGTCTCTTTTCCTGCTAATGGCTTCGCTTTACTCTTCTTCACAGCTGAATATAATTCCGTCATGTACCTGCGCCACAGTTTCTTTGTTCACTCACCAACAAGCTCCTAATCTCACACTGTGACTGCGCCACTGTGAATAGTGCTGCAATAAGCATGGGTTTGTCGGTGTCTCTACCTCATACTGACTTGAATTTCTTCCAGGAAACACAGGGGAATGATATATGGTAATATACGGCATATCATGGGTCATATGGTAATCCTATTAAAGTACTTAGAATCTGGGGGCTAATGTTTTCTTAAAAAAAAAAAAAAAAAAAAAAAAAAAAAACCTTGCCGGGCATTGGTGGCGCACACCTTCAATCCCAGTACTTGGGAAGCAGAGGCAGGCGGATCTCTGTGAGTTCGAGGCCAGCCTGGGCGCCAGGGTGAGTGCCAGGATAGGCTCCAAAGCTACAAAGAGAAACCCTGTCTGGAAAATAAATAAATAAATAAATAAATAAATAAATAACTGAAGCTGGTTGTTCATTGCCAAATGATTAGCCCTGAAAACATACATGCAATATTATATGGGCTCAACACGTTATATTAGGGAATATATATCATATACATATATGTATGCAATAACAATTGAGAAAAAGGCCATGAATTTGAAGGCGAATGGGGAGGAGTGTCTCTGTAAGTTTGAGGCCAGCCTGGACTACAAAGCAAGTTCCAAGACAGCCAAGAGACACAGAGACACAGAGAAACCCTGTCTCAAAAACAAAACAAACAAACTTATAGCTAGTACATCGTCTCAGATGTGTGTCTTCCCAACCTTCTCACCATGACCCAGCCAGGTTGCCAGGTGAGGTCATCCAAGACCATCCCGTCCTGCCAAGCCAGCTGAGTCCAGAAGGCTGTGACCAATAAATCATAAGAATGGTTTGTTGCTTGACTCAACCAACTTCCATGTGATTTATTGTACATCAGAAGAAACCCAACTCATCGTGTTCATATGAAACCCTATTGCTGTGATCTACTGGACACCTGGAAACTAGAAGTACAACTTTTTTTTGTCTGTTTGTTTCATTTTGTTTCAAGGCAGAGCTTCTCTGTGTAGCCCTGGCTGTCCTGGAACTCACTCTGTAGACCAGGCTGGACTCAAACTTACAGAGACCGGCCACCTCTTGCCTCCCGAGTGCTGGGATTAAAGGCATTCGCCACCGCCAGGCCTAGAAGTACAACTTCTACCAGAAACTGGTCATAGATCCCTCTTTCTTGATTTAAAAACATACAAACAACAACAACAAAAAACCCTCATTCCAATACCCCAAATTGGGAAAGATTGGAGTTCATCTAGCTCAATCTAATGGCAGAGACAATGTGGGCTGGTGCTCCCTGAAGACCAGAGACACTGCTTCAGGTAGAGTTTAATATGTGTGGTCTTGATGCTGGTGCAGAGTTATTTTAACTGTACTGCAAGAATATATAAAGTGGCTGATGGTTGGGTCACTGAAAAGCAAGGACTTGAGTGCCACATAGAGACACACAGCTGTATTCCCAGAGTGCAGGAGGATGAAGCAGGAAGACTGAAGTTCAAGGTCACCCTGGGCTATTTAATGAGACTCTCTCAAAAAAAAGAGAGGAGAAGGAGGGCAGGCAGGCAGGCTGAATTCTGCTAGAACCAACCAACTTTTTATCTCCAGGTAACATGAACCATGCATTTGATACTGAGATAAATGCTTGTAATTGGTATTATTATTATTATTATTATTATTATTATTATTATTATTATTTTTTGAAACACTGTCTCTCTATGTAGTGCTTGTTGTCCTGGAGTTTGCTATGTATACCAGGCTGGCCTGGAACTCACGGAGATCCTCCTGCCTCTGCCTCCAGAATGCTGGGAATAAAGGTACCACCACACCCTGCTGTGAACCATTTTTAAATAATTTATATGATCATTGTAATCATGTCTATTATAAATTAATGACAGTTAAAACTGCACCATGAGGAGGAGCAGGAGGAAGGAGACAATTTGGTTAAGAAAAGACAATAGGGAGGAGATGGAGCTCTGTGCCTTTTCTGTGGTGGCAGAAACATGAGGGCACAAAATCATTAGTAACTACCAAAAACATAGAGTCATTTGGAGCAGCTGTGGTACACGCCTTTAATCCAAGAACTTTGGGAGGCAGAAGCAGACAGATCTCTGTGAGTTCGAAGCCAGCCTGGTCTACAGACCAAGTTCCAGGACAGCCAGGACTGTTACACAGAGAAACCCTGTCTCAGGAAATAAAAAATAGTAGAGTCACGCAGTAAACTGAGGAAATTGATAACAGCTCAAAATACACCACTGCCTCCCATCCACTCACAACTCTCCTCAGACAATCTACTGTCCTGGCCCCCGTAACAAGACAATTTTGCCTTGTTTTGGATTTCCTCTAAATGAAGATGGATGCTGGGGAGATGGCTCAGGAGTTTAGAGCACTTTGCTCTTTCAGAGGACTTGGGTTTCATTCCCATCATCTGCATAGTGGCTCACAACCCTCTGTAACTCCAGCTTTAGGGGCTCTAGAGTCCTCTTCTGGCTCCCATGAGCACATACATACATACAGGCACAGCACTCATTATAAGACCCCCAGAAGCTCAGGCCTCCAGGGTCTCAGCCCAGGACTGCGGTCACCCCAATCACCAGACAGATTGGAAAGCTTGATGCAAACTGCACGAGGCTTTATTATAGTTGCTTAACGAGCTAACATCATGTTAGCTCGGGTCTTTCATCCACCCGCCATGGCGGATGGCTAGAAAAAGACAGCTCAAAGCATCTGCATAGATATCTTGTAGGATAGCATAAGGGGAGTGTCTAGGGGTACGCACAGGCTCAGGATTGGTGTGCCTCTAGGCTTGGAGGGCTTGCCCTGTGTTGATTGGTCAAATGGTTGTTATGGCTCATAGGCCCTCCCAGGGGGGTTGCTATGCTCTCTACATCATTGCTGTGCGCTTGTCCGTAAAGCACACCCAGAGCTGTAAAGCATAGCGCCACCAGCTAACTTCTGATTGGTTCCTTGCCACGAGGCAGGCATCTGACCTCTTAGTGACCAAGACAAGATCATGGCAAGCACGTGTTCGGCTGTTATGGCTGCCGAAATGGGGAGCTGGTCCCTTTACTCATACATATTAAATAAATACATCTGAACAGATTTCTAATGAAATCATACAAAATTATTCATTTTCTTTGCAATATATTGTTCTATCATATGACTATACTATACTATGACATTTACAATTGTTGTATGATCACTGGCATGATATAAACAGTGTTATGCTATAAATATTCTCACATAAGTCTTTTTGGTCATAACTATTTACCCTACCAATAACAAACATGAAGTCACCACAATAGCTTATGCCATAATCTCAGCACTCAGGAGTCTGACACAGGAGGATCACTTCGAGTTCGAGGTTAACCTGGACTACAAAACAAGATCCTGTCTCAAAAGGGGGGTGAGAGCAGAGAAAAGAGGAAAATCTAGTAATTCTACATCCTCACTGAAACTTTCTATCTTCTGCTCTTCTGAGGGCTATGGAATTTTATTGTTGTCTTTATTCTGATTTTCTTGATCAGCAATGTTTCTGCTCTTTTGTTCATTAGTCATTCACAAATGGTGTTAGACAGATTGCCAGCACTGTGATAAGATGCCTGACACAATAGCTTTCAAGCAGGAAAGGATTATATAGGAGGTTTCAGCTCGTGGTCATTTGACCCCACAGCCTTTGCGCCTGTGTGAGGCAGAACTCAAGGGAGGCGCACAGGGCAAGAGAAAGGTACTCACCTCATGGCACCCAGGAAACTTCCTCCTGCCACGCCCCACTTCTAGAAGTTTCTATCACCTCCCAACAGCACCACAGGCTGGTCCTCTGAGACTTCAGATCCAAATTATAGTAGACACACTCTTTCATAAAGAGCTTGGTGAAGTCCTGACCAATTTTTGTTAATTTCCTATGGATTCTTCATATAGTTTAGATAAAAATCCTTATTTTACGCGCGCGCGCGCACACACACACACATACACATACACACACACACACACACACACACGTATTATAATCGTTGAGAGCACCTTTTCAAGGTTTTGTTTTTTGTTTTTGTTTGTTTTTGATTAAAAAATATCTTTTAATTGTGAAGTCCAGGAGGTACCAAAATTTAGAGAAAGACTTAAAGGGTAAGATTTAGCTACCCCGAGCATCAGAGGAAGTGAATGTGGAGCCAGGTGCAAGGTTATTATGACTGGATGAGCACAGGAAGGATAAAGAAGAGAGGGAGAACAGTGAGGATGCGCTGAAGACACCAGGGGAGAGGAGCTGCTGTTACTTCAGTCTCTCACCAGTCTCAGGTAGAGGAATGATGGGATATGATTTCTAAATTCCACCCTGTGCTCAAGAGTCAGCCTCTCCTTCCTCAGCCTCCTTTTCATCATTTTTGATCAGCTCCAGCTGTTCACACCCCATCTTCAGCAGCAGCAGCAGCAGGCTGCCTCTTCCTCAGACTCCATCTTCACATCACGCTCATGTTTCCTCACAGAGAGGCCGCTCTGCTCTTCTCTAGACCCTTCGTTCTCCGTCTCTGCTGGGGCTGAGATGGGTAACTGCACATCCTGTCGTGATAATTCCGCTGGAAGTCATAGTCCAAGTCAAATAAGCGACCACACATCTCTGCTGCAGACCACTTCATGCCCGCCCTTCCTCAGTTCACCCTTTGCTCTGCAGCCAGATTAACCAACATCTAAAGCCTGGCCAGCACTCACGCATTCTGCCACCCTGTCCAGCTACCGCAGCCCAGGCATTTCTCTCATTAACCTGCTTGACGAAGGCAAAGCCCCTGTGTACAGAGCAACCCACAATCTGCCATACTATGAAAAGATCGCCTCCACATCAGACTTCTTGACCACAGGGTATTTATTGAGGTTCCCATTCCGGATCTCACGGATCCAGGGTCTGCCATGTTGGTAACACTGCTAGCTGTCTCCTTCGATGATAAGTTTCCCCCACATCCAAAAAACACAGCAGAAGATCAAAAAACTTCACAAGAGGTAGGAGATAAGACACCGTCTCTCCTACTGAGGTTCTACACCAAAGCTACAGCAGGTGGGCAGCTCACAGCTGCCTGTTCCACGTCTCCTCCCAGAAATGCCCTTTTCTTGTTTTTCAATTTCAAGGTGTGCTCATGCCTGCAGATGAGTCTGTGCACCCAGCAGACTTTTCTGTGATGTTTAGATTTACAATAGAAGAAAGAACTCATTCCCAATTGTGACAGCTGAACAGAAATTTGTCTCAAGTTTTCCTACTTTCTGCTTTTCTGGAATCTTTAACATAAAAACCTCAATTCTTGCCAGATGGTGGTGGCTCACACCTTTAATCCCAGCACTCAGGAAGCAGAGGCAGGTGGATCTCTGTGAATTAGAGGCCAGCCTTGTCTACAAAGTAAGTTTCAGAGCAGCCACAACAGTTACACAGAGAAACCCTGTCTTGAAAAACAAACAACAAAAGAAACTCAATTCTTTGAGGATCTAATATTAAAATCTAAAAGATAATTTTGAGGCGTATGAAATTTGTTCCCATGTGCCATGCAGATGCCAGTTTTAAGACAGAGCCAAGTCTCTGGATGGGCTAATCTGACATCACCTCAGAAGTAGAGATTTCCAAATTAGATCATATGATTCCAGCAAGCTGTCTGTGTTTGAGAGGAAAAGCATTTAATATGTGGTTGAAAACATAGCAGATTGGATCAAGATGGAAGACTGGGAACAAATTCTAACTCTCCTCTTTCCTCTTTCCCAGATCTCTACAAAACAGAAAAATTAACTGGAGACATAAATGTATGCCTAACTCCCAGTGCTGGGGACAGAGTTCAGGGCCTATCATATGGTAGGTAAGTACTTTGCCTCAGAGTTGAACAGAGCTGAAATTTGAAGATAAGAAAAAGCAACTCAGATATTGCTAAACAGCTCTTCCTTATCAGTCAACCCTGAGATTACTTCAGTCAGCCGAGTTTGCCAACCGTCACCCCAGGACTAACTTGAGAGTGGAAATGCAAATTCTAAACTTTGAGATCTAAAAGATTTTATGATCAGATATAAAACATAGTTCCATCATCCACATCTGCTCTTCCAGGGTACCAGCGGAATCTTAACCTCTCTTTTGTCCTTCACAGGCACCACACACATGGGGCACACACAGACGACACACTTACACATAAAAAAAAGAAAAGAAAAGAAAAGAAAAAAGAAATCTTAAAAAAAAAGCTATGGAAATTGCTAATACAACTAATAAGTATATTAAGGACAAACACCACACAAATATATTTATTTATTTCCCAGTTCACCACCTAATCACATAAAAATGTTTGAGAATATTTAGCTATGAATTTCAAGGCATTATAAAATTTAAGATCTTCTTGGGAAATATGAGCAATTTCAAGTGTCCCAAATCTTATCTCCCCAGGAAATTCACTGGAAGAGAGAGGTATCAGAAGTCAATTTTAAGGAAATGGACTCGAATTTAGTCAGGTAATTTACTTTATTTCTGCAAACAAACAATTAAAGTGACCCAGATGTTGGAATTGTGACTACAAGGAGACAACATCTGGCAGGTGGGCTTCCATCATACAAAATCCAACTGCTCAATTCAATAGCTATTAGTCACCTGATGTTGTTTAACTTTACATTAATTATAATTTTAAAATTCAATATTTAGCAGCTCCAGCATACTAGGTGCCCATCAGATGTACAATAGCCGTGCATGCCTGTGTCGACCAGATTAGTGCAAATACAGAATGCCTATGTTATTAGACAGCCAGAAGAAGGACTCTACTTGTAAGAAAAGCAAACACATCCTAGAGAGTGTTACAAAATCTTGTATTTAAAGTGGTAAAAATGGACTAAGCTTTCTCCTCAGCTCCTTGGCTACTTCCATTTCTGTATCTTGCTTTACTTTCTTTTCAGAATGTGTTTGTAAGTTCTGATGCCTGACATCCTTCCCCACCCTGTTTTCCTGTACCGGACCTCTCCTCTCACTACTCTTTCCAGCAGCAAATATACAGATCCCTTTACAGATGTGATGCACTTACTAAGTATTTTCTTTTTAATTTCAATAATAAAATCGAAGTTGGTAGAGTGTTTGCCACTAAAGCCTTGAGTTTGACCTCCAGGATGTTGTGGTGGCCTGCATGACTGCAATTCCAGAAACCCAGGAGGATCAGAAATTCAGGGTCATCCTTGGCCATATCTTGAGTTTGAAGGTCTGACTGGGCTACATGAAACTATGACTCAAAAAAAAAAAAAAAGAAAGAAAAGAAACTCATGTAGTTGCAGAAGCATTGTTTTTATTGTGCTTTTAAAAAGACCACAGTATTACAGTGGAGATATTTTAAATGTTTCTTTTAGATTTTATGCACTTGATTTTTCTGCCTGCATGTGTCTATGCACCGTGGGTGTCTGATGCCTACTGAGGTCAGAAGATGGCACAGACGATAGATTCCCTGGAACTGGAGTTACGGATGGTTGTAAGACACACTCTGGGCGCTCGCTGGGAAGCGAACCCCAGTTCTCTGAAAGAAGAAATGCTCTCAGCAGCTGAGCCATCTCTCCAGCCCCCTCTCATGGGGACTTTATCCCTTTGTCTTTGTTTTAAGGAACAGAGTCTCATTCTGTAGCCCAGGCTGGCCTAAAACTCGTGATACTGCTTGAGTCTCGGGAGTAGCGAGCATGATCCGGTACTCGGTTTCGCGGCATGTTAAAGGGATTTGCCTTCCCATGTGTTTTTCTTTTGGAGATCATGTCTCTTCCACAGAAAGGGCCTCTTCTTACCTTGGGGAAATGGATGGAAAGAGTCGAGTAGTTCCAGTTCCTGCCTCTGGGTCTTCCATTCAAAGGAGACCTCACCCGACTCCTCCAGGTCCCCATAGGGTATCAACATGACGCCGGCCGCCATCTAGCGGCGGGGACCGGCAAAGGCGCCTCCGCCGCGGTGGCTCCCGGCGGTTGCCAGGTGACGGGAGCCACGCGCCGCTAAGGAGGAGGGCACAGCACGAAGGATCCGCAGGGTCGCAACAACCCGGGCTTCCATTGGCTGAAGATCAGTCAACAACCGCCTGAGCCAATGCGCAGATGGACGCGGATGACGTCGATGCGACTCCTCCTCCCGGCGCTGCTAGGACGCGTCTGGAGATCCAGGGTCCTGTGGCACCCCTCTGCGGCCCGGCTGCCCTATGTGCACTCCGCAGCTGCACCTGCTGACCGTGCTGGCCCTGATGCTTCCTGACGCCGCCGGACCCCAGCCCTCCCCAACCCAGGCTCTTCCCACCTCCTCGGCCCTGGGGCCAGAGACACCCGAAGTGGCGACTGCAGCCCCGCCGCCGGACTGGTCTGAGGGCCCTACTCCCTGGACCCCGCCGATGCCCGAAAACGTGACCACAGACCTCCTCCCAGGTGATGCGGCGGGATACGGGATGGAAATCGTGACTCCTCAGACCTATGTGGACAAAATTGAGTTGCCACAAAGCCGGTAGGGGCTGTTCGCGCGGGAAAACTTTGGGGAGTTTCATCTCGCTTTTTTTTTTTTTAACTTGCACTTACAGCCTTGCCGATCTGCATCTGTGACTTGACTCCTGGTACCTGCGATTTAAACTGCTGCTGTGACAAGGACTGCGATCTTGACCATCCCAGAACAGTCTTTTCCTTCTGCCTTCCTGGTAGTGTACGGTGAGCTACCATGCTCTTAGGTTCTTGAAGTAAGAGTGAGCCTCCTACCCCTGCTTCCTCCCCTTGGATGTTCCTTGGGTTTTCCTGGGAGTGATCTTTCTTCCTGCTCCTGCAGAGCTGAGACATCAAGTAAAACAGAACCCGTGTGTTGTGCGGCAGCTGCCCATAGAGCCTCTTACTGGCATCAGACATCGGTAGGGCCCCTTCCCTAACCCTACCCTCAATAGCTTCATCTTTCCTCACAGATCTTCCAGCTGGGTATGTGTCGACAACTCTCTTATCTTCAGGAGCAACTCCCCATTTCCTTCCAGAGTTTTCACGGATGCCAGTGGAATTACACAGTTTTGTGTCCGTGTAAACAACTGTGAGTAGAGACAAGTTCGGCCGTTCTTGTCATTTAACGTTTATTAAGGCATGGCTTTGTCTTTGGACTTCCCATCTTATTTCATTTTTTTGAATCCCCATCCCTCATCCTCTCCTACCCTTCCCACTACCCTCTTTCTTTCAGTTAGTAGAGGACATTAGTAATTTCAGAAACCTCCAGTGGCTGTCCATTACCTTGAAAATACTGCCCAGCTCCTTTAGTATGGCAGTCATGGTGCTCTCATACCTGAGTTAACTTTTTTTTTTTTTTTTTTTTTTGCAAGCTTTTCTCCAGTGATTTTACACTGACCTTTTATTTTGGCCAAGTTAATCTTCCTTGTCCTCAAGATGTGTTTTGAAGTTTTCCTAAATTTTACTTGCTTTTCTCCCTGACTCAAGTGGTCCTCTGTTTCCTTGCATTTTGAAAACCTTAGCCCTCCTAAAAGTCTTCTGTCACTTGCTGGAGTTGAGAGTGAGCCAATCCTCAGATATAATTATGAATGTGAAAAGAAGCCTAGAGACCATCTCATGTACCATTACTGATGGGTAATGGTATGTCACGCGCCATGGTGTATATAGCCTTCACTTGTCTATCTTGTCTGTGTCATCTCCTTTCACTGCTTCCACCAGTACACCTGTACTGAAGTGAGGAGCAAGTGGTAACTTGATCTTACTGATAAAAGCCACGGGAAGAATGGATAGATATTGGCTGTCTGACCTCACCTTCTCTCTCCACTTCACTTTACCTTTTGCTTACAAAGGTAGCAATTACTGGATTTGATATGAAGAAAGTAGCCTTTCTGTGCAGTTTCTGGAGGAAATGTTCAATTTCTCCAAGAAGCTGCAGCGCTGGCTGCCTCAGCTCCTGGAGATAAGGGCAGAGTAGAAGGTGGCGCACAGACCAGCGCACCTGTGCCTAAGCAGTACTTTGTTCTGTAAAACTTACAGTTATTTACTATGTGTGTGTGTGGCGGGGGGAGGGGGGTGTAGGGGTGGGGGAGTTGGACACACACAGGCGTGTCTGATTTGTTACTTGCCACAGCACACTTGTGGAGATCAAAGGATAGCTTGTGAGAATCAATTCTCTCCTTACACCAAGTAAGTCCTAGGTATCAAATTCAGGTTGCTGTCAATCTTGGTGGCAATTACCTTTACTTACGGAACCATCTTGTAGTTCTTTTTTTTTTCTTTCTCTCTCCCTCCCTCCCTACTTCCCTCCCTCCCTCCCTCTGTCTGTCTATCTCGTTTTGTTTGTTGTTGTCTTGTTTTTCGAGACAGGGTTTCTGTGTGTACTTTGGAGCCTATCCTGGAACTCGAACTGTAGACCAGGCTGGCCTCGAACTCACAGAGATCTGCCTGCCTCTGCCTCCCAAGAGCTGGGATTAAAGGTGTGTGCCACCACGCCTTGCTTGTAGTACTTTCTGAAACTCTAGGTGTTCGTTGAGTGTGATAATGTGTGTTGTACTTCAAAGGTTGTTTCTTATATCAGATACTTAAAAAGAAATGCTTTTATCTAAGTCTCTGTTCTTTTTAAAAACATTTTAGCAAAATTAAACTATTTCCAGAAGCTCCAAACAGTCAATGCAACCAACTTCCAGGCCCTGGCTGCAGAGTTTGGAGGCCCGTCCTTTACTTGGACATCTGAAACCCAACCGCCATTACCATTTTACAGGGTGAGTGAGCCTGGGGGCAGGTGAGGGGCAGTCTGGTTTTCCTGACAGAGAACAGTCGGCAGTGTAACTTTGTAGTACCCTCCCATAATGATATTAACCATCTGGGCTGTTGGGTCTCACCTTGCTGTGAATAAATTTGCCCTGTGTTTTATTCAGGCCGGGCATCCCATCCTGACTTACTACCCCAGCTGGTCTGTAGTGAGTTCACTGAGGCAGCCCGCAGCAGTGGGAGCTGGGGGATTTTGTGCTGAGAGCAATCCTGCAGGTGGGTCAGGGCAGGAGTCCGCCGGCCTTTTGCTTTTTTGGAAATAGACTCTCTCACTTACTCCTGTCTTCACTCTTTGTGTTGCAAGGCTTCCTAGAGAGTAAAAGCACAACCTGCACCCGTTTCTTCAGGGACCTGGCCAGTAGCTGCACCTCGGAGCCAGCCCTGGACGCTGCCACTTACTATAACTTCACAGTCTTAAAGGTAGGTGCTGCCTTGCCCCCAGTCTACAGATTCTCACTTAGACCACTCAACTTCACCGTCAAGTCACATGTCACCCACCATTATGGGTTAGAAAAATCCCTAAACTGGAAGTCATAATTCCTAAGATCTACATATAAGATAGAGGGTATGGAAACCATTGTCTGAAGAAAGATTAGAGACAGTAGATCCACAGGAAGACCTTGTCACCGTCCTGGCTAATGGGTGTCCTTGAGATAGTAAGGAGCTGGTGGCAGGTCCCTGTTTCACCAGAGTTCTTGCTTTTGGAGCTCTGTCTGCATCAGTAGGCATGGCAGTCCAGGCTGGCATCCAGCTCCACTCTCTGGCAGTTAGTGAAAGGAGAGTCAGCTGGAATATGAGAGGCCACTCCAGTATTTCTTCCCCTCCCCCACCAAAGTCTGTCTGGGGTCTTAGGAAGTGGAAACTCCTGCTGATTTTATGAAAGGCGTATACACCCTCATGTCTCCATTCTTTGCCTTTCCTAGGTTCCAAGAGGTATGACTGATCTTCAGAATACAAAGGTATGATGTCATTTAACAGGAAAAATACCTGTTATACCCGGCCTCTGTATAACTGAGACCCATTCATTCTAGCTTATAATAATGGAAGAGAATGTAGGCATTTTGTACCACAGTCAAGCATGGCTCTAGACGTAGCTTCACATGAAATAAAGATTAAGGAGTTGTTGGTAAGTCTAAAGAACACCTGAGTTAAATCTAGCTAAAATGCCACATTTGGAGTGGGTATCTCTGAGTCTTTTCATAACCCAATGGACGTTGTCGATGTCTGGAGGTAGACATCTGATTGACTGTGGGCCCTTGCTTCATGTGTAATAGGACTGGCGTCCTAAGAAGCTTGTCAGAATGACTTGGACTTAAGCTGTCTGGCACCGGAAGGAGAGAAAATTGGTTTAGTCTAGGGGAAAGAAAGTATTCATTGTAGCACAATATATAGCTGGAGGAGAAAAGGCCATTTTCAATTTCAATAGGTTTGTTTCTTCTTCTTATCAGCTCCAGGTTCCTGTAACACTTGCCTCACAAACCCGTCCTCCTCTATTGTCTGGAAACACATGTCAGAATATAGTTTCCCAGGTATGAATTCTACATGGTGCACATTGGTCAATATCACCAGAGGGACCACACCCTCCCGTAAGGGCTGGGCTGACTGATTCACTGAACTGCTGGAGTTGGAGCCCCTCCCCCCCCATGTTTCCATCACTACTGTCCGTCACTGCTTCCTCCAGGGTTTTAGGTTCAGACTCTTTCTTTGTACACAGTCTTGTGCTGGCTCTTAGTGACTTCACATTTCGTCTGCTGACACAGTGTCATCTCAGTGTCTAAGTCCTCTTTAATTCTCTTATAGTCACTGAGGTGTGTAAAGGAGTAAACAGTATCTTAAAGTAGCCTTTTTAAGGACTCTGCTCCCTTCTGTCCCCAGCTACTATTTTTATTTCTCTTCAGACACTGTGAAGGGTTAGTAACTGGGTTTCCACTCTGTGCTTCCCTTTGCCCAATACCACACCATCCTTGCCCACACTCAAAACTCTTGTTTTAAACACACCTCTTCTGTGAACTTTTCCTAAAAGCCCTATTTGGTCTCTTTTGTTCGCATACAAAATCAAGCCATCTTTATCTTTTCATATTATTTATGGTGTGTTACTGGTTGCTATTTAAATCTCTTGCACACAGTTAAAACAAAGTCTTCTGTGTTCAGCACAGTAACTCCACAACTATTTATTAACTGACTCTTCCTTTGC